GTGTGTGTGTGTGTGTGTGTGTGTGTGTGTGTGTGTGTGTGTGTGTGTGTGTGTGTGTGTGTGCGTGTGTGCTTGCTTGCGTGTGGGCGTGAGTGTGCTAAAAATCGTCGTCGTAAAAAATATATGCTATTATATGTTAATTGTGCGGGTAGGTGTGCAGTAAATTTTAATTGTACTGACTGCATGTTTTTCTCTTCAATTATTAATAATGTCTAAATTATTCATCTGAGAATCGGACGAGATTGCAGGATCAATAATTATTTTCAAGATGGCGACAAGGGGCCGATCGCTAGCTCTACCGGATATCTATATTGCATATCAACGCCCATCCTGTCTCAGACCAGTGACTCACACCCATAGAAATAATATACTATAGTTAGTCTATGTCTCTATCTATGTCTGTATACCTCTATACGGTGTGTCTATATATTTCTATGCTCACATCGCACGCACGTAGATTACTCACGTAACATTTCCACTACTTACCACTACATTACCACTATTCTTTCTACTTCTTCTTCTTCATCATCTTCTTCTTCTTCTTCTTCTTCTTCTTCTTCTTCTTCTTCTTCTTCTTCTTCTTTTTCTTCTTCTTCTTCTTCTTCTTCTTCTTCTTCTTCTTCTTCCTCTTCTTCATTTGGCATTTCGCATCATTAGTCCCACTCAAGTCGGGTCGCTGCACTTACAAGAGCTCTCCTATTCATGTTGTTTGTGCACAGGGCGGGCGTGCGGTGTACTTGTGTGTTGCAGATGAGTATTTGACCGGCATTTATGGGTAATTATCGGCAATAATAGGCGAAATAGAGTAGAGAAACATTAAGACTTTGGTAGTAAATACATTTCGTGTTTATTTACCTTTTTTATTGAGGCGTTCCAAGTGTCTGTGGAGTTGCGCGTTGCACTTGGCAAAGCGGGTGGAGGTTTGGGAAGCGATGGTCTCCAGGCATATTTAAGGGGATGTGTCCATGCTTTGCCAATCCTCCAGGCTTAATCACTTTATTTCTCCCCTTTCCGATTTGCTTCCTGGCCTTGGACTTCAGCTTTTGTGCTATTAGTTAAATAACTTTTTTCAGCGATCTGTTGGACACTGCATTACAGAAAATGGAGAACAGAGCTGATTTCGAATTGTCATGCACTATATTAACACCGCAATCAACTCTACATGCCTTCGTAAACATCAGTGTGCATTTTAGGTTAGTGAACTGCACTGGACCTTCGCGCAACAGAACGACGCACAGTGCGTGCCTACAGTTGGGAGAAGAATGTCAGACCTGCATGCTGCCTGTTCACGTGGGGACGTTGAGAAAGTGTTAGAACTTCTGCGAGGTGGAGCGAACACATCGTGCGTGAACGTACGCATGGAGATGCTTCTCCACGTCGCCTGCGCACTTTCGCGGAACAGGACGGAAGAGAAGATGGAGATTGTGAAACAGCTGCTGCTGCATGACACGCCCCTGCAAGAGGAGAATGAGCGCGGGCGATCGAACGCCTCTCATGCTCGCCTGCGAAACACCTCCGCGCGCGTTACCGTGGCGACGGAACAATGCTCCACGCAGCCGTGGCCGGCGGAAACGCGCGGATCCTGTCGCCGGCTTGCTCTGGCCAGCTGGACATCATGCGCCTGCTACTGGAGGCCGGTCCAGATCCAAACGCCGCGGACTCGTACGGACAAACCACCCTGTACCACGCGGCTTGCTCTGGCCGGCTGGACATCATGCGCCTGGTACTGGAGGTCGGTGCAGATCCAAACGCCGCCGAGACGCAGACCGGGAAGACGACGCTGATGAAAGCGGTGAGTAAGGGCGAGGAGGCGGCGGTGCGGATGCTGCTCTCACACGGAGCCGACGCCAACGCCGCGAACTCGCAAGGACAGACCTTCCTGCACATCGCGGCTTGCTCTGGTCGGCTGGACATCATGCGCCTGGTACTGGACGCCGGCGCAAATCTAAACGCGTCCGTTTGTCTTCAGTCTCCCACCTATCTCTCTCTCTGTATTGCACGCCTCAAATGGTTCTAACGCATGCGCAATATCTCCAGAGAAAAATAATATTTTGCAGATATTATGCATTTAAAGTGATGAGAAGGTTTCCTATCATAGATTTCTATGATAACATTCCATCGGTAGATCTGACTTAAGAATTTGGAAGAAGATCTTGCATGTAAGGTCACCGCTGCATATACCAGTCATTAAAACAATCTGGCTACGTTAGTGTGTTAACGCATGCGCAATATCTCACCAGAGAAGTAATATTTTGAGATGAATATGCATTTAATATGCTTAGTGGGTATCTCAGCATAGATTTATGTACTCAATTATTATCAATACACCTGTGTTTATAATTAGGAGAGCGCCCTAGTCTATAGGGTTCAAAACTCATACTTCATCCCCTCCCGTCCGCCCCCTTGTCTCCCTTGTCCATCGACCAACCCCCTTCTTCTTCTACTCCCTCAACCATCTCCGCTGCCGCTTGTCCTCAGTCCCCCACCTCTCTCTCCCTCCCCCTCTCTTTCTCTCTCGCTCTCTCTCTCTCTCTCTCTCTCTCTCAGACATCTGCATGATGCAGTTTTTTTCAGTCCGTATTGCACGCCTTGAAACGGTTCTAGTGCATGCATGCGCAATATCTCCCGAGAAGAAAAATATTTTGCAAAACATTATGCATTTAAAGTGAAGAGGACGTTTTCTATCATATATTTATATGAAAACATTCCATCAGTAGATCTCACTTAAGAATTAGGAAGAAGATCTTGCATGTAAGGTCCCCGCTGCATATACCATGCAGCCATTACACAACATGGCTACATTCGTGTGTTAACGCATGCGCAATATCTCACCAGAGGAGTTATATTTTGAGATAAATATGCATTTAAT